CAATCAGCTGGAGGCTGTTCACTCCCCAGCGCGTCCAAGCATGCCTGGCACTCCACGCAAGGATTGCTGGCACCCGCCCATCGTGTTAAAGGCGATGCACCTCTGTATTTTAAACAAACTCTGGGCAACCCAGAAACTATTGATCCGACGCTGGCAGAGTGTCTGCGCTTCGGGGTGGAGATATATTACAAGGTGTCCGAACATCGTGGAAGCCACAGCCGTCTGGAACTGTATAACTGTCGTCTGGAGCCTTAAGCAACAACTACTACTGCATTTCCCAGTCACAATTGCCAGGGCCCTGGCCTGCACCACGGCGCTTGCATTGGCTTCTGTGCCATTCTTACCTACCTCCATCGACGGTCAATGTGACTGAACAACAAAAACTGGGGTGCCATCGTTGAATCATATGTATATATATATATATATCCCAAATAGGCATGCCAAGGATTTTTCCCGTCCTTCTCAAATTTAGATTGGCTCCATCCACCCACATACTCAAATTTTGGGCGAACAAAACTCGGTGACGCCAACCGTAACCATATCTAACCACATCTACCCAAATCGTAGCACTAAGCAGCCCGAGCTGAAGTGTCCCAAAGCTGGATCGGCACAGCAACCTTGGCATGTCGTATTTGTTGGTTAGGAGATCTGGCCCAAAGGGGCCCTCTGAGCATCAACAAATTACGGTCACAACATGTCGCAACTTAACATGGTTCTAGCTATGAAAAACATATCGGGTGCTTTCTTGAATTGTTTTTCCTGATAGTATATATATAACTATATATCTATGATATTAACAAGATGTTCTTAGTGGATCTTAGTGGCTATAGGCGGCGCGACACCACAGCACCAGCAATCTGAGCACCAGGCAATGAAGGCCATAGCATCTGCAACCACCGGAATAGCCTCCAGGTTTGGTTCCAGCTCAGAGATTGAAACCACCCATCTGCACAGCTACTACATAGTCGGTCCAAACTTGAAGCTTGTAGTTGGTCCGCCGTGCGTAAACGGCCGTGTGGCTTCGGGACACTTGTTTGTTTTTTGAAGAACGCATTTTATTGAAGTTACATTGGGATTAGCATTTCTGTGGTCGTTCAGTGATCTGGAAGCAGAGTTCTTGTGTTGGCAAAAAAAACATGAAAACAAACACTTTGCATCCACATGATTGATCTGAACTCAGCTGCCTTTTGTTCTTCGAAGACAGCACGTCAGAAAAACCTGCTGTATTGTCTGTGCAAGCACTTCGTCTGCAGAGAGGTTTCGCAGGCAGCACACTCGCCACACCCATTGGTAAAGCAACAGCTCGATCTTTTTGGGTTCATGAGCCTTTGTGATAATGACAATGTTGTGACGTCGATGACAATGTTGTGAAATCAATTTACCCCCACCCCCCACAGCACCCCACCCAACAAACCGGTGACAATGCTGTGATGTCCATGACAATGTTGTGAATTTGATAACAAACAAAAAGTACTGCAAATACCATGGATTTTTTACATGAAAAATACAATGGAACATGCTTATGGCAAATGCGACGCTCTCCCCAGTTGCCCTGCGGAGACACAAACAGTGCTGTAAATACCGCACGGAATTTGCAAAATGTAGTCGAATTGCCACGGCCGTCGACGCGCAGCAGGCCTTGTATTTTGCACAGCTTTTTCGAGACCCGTGGAGCAGAATCGGAAATGAGATAAACTACAGTAGACTCGATGTTTGTGTTTCTATTGTTATGACTTTCTCTAGACCTTTAGGCCTTTCTTGCTTTCCTTTCTTTCTTTCCCGATAGTCAGTAGTTTATCATACTTTGTCATGAATGTGGGCGCAAAAGGCTGGATTCACTTGTGGGTTTTGCTTTCATGCAAATGCATCTGGGAAATGTTCACATCCCTCGTGAATGATTTGGGCGGGGAGGTCAATTACTCAATTTGGTTTGAGGTTGTGTGTTTCTGCGACAGTCCCCGAACATACAATGTTGCATTCCTTGAACAAAGTCGCTGTTCCGCTGCACTACGGAATCTTCTCCCAAATGTTTACCAAATACGTGCTGCTAGACCTTCATATTGAGTTGCGGGAGCCGTTGAAGCGAAGCATTTGCAAGTTGCACAACTTGAGGGCTGAGCACCACCAACAATGAGGGGCGTCTGAGTTTTGCTCTCTAGTCACCGTTTGCAAGCTGGGCACCCAACCTTTTGAAGCGAATGAATCATCTTGGACGCGAAGTCGCAAGTAGTGCACAATTGCACAAACACACATATAGAACAACATAGATTTGGTTCGACACTGAAACCCTGCACCCCGTTGAGCACTCCCCGCCTTGGGAACCTTGCGTCCGAACAAAAGGATTCGCGAGAGCAGGTCCTGCAGAAGTCAACGAGGAAAACGCCCAAGACAATAGGCCAGCCCTGTGGCTTTGCTTTGTGTATTGTGTTGTTTCTTTCTTTCATTTGCCTCTGTACTTAAGTTGTGTGTTGTCCCGACGACAGGCTATTCTGGGAAAATACAGTTGACACAACCTACTAGAACACATTTGCAGCTACATAAGATCACACTGAATATGCGAACCTGCAAACCTGATATGGAGTCTCCAAATTGTATAAATAATGTGTTTGCTTTGTTCGTCAATTCATCTAATGAGTAAAGTGACAAGTAGTCAACAAAGCACTACACCTCACTCTACACCTCTGGGCCCATCAACACAAGAGTAACAAGCCACGCCAAAGAGCTCTGCTGGAAAGCACTCCTTCAGCATGTCTGCTACCAGACTCTGGAATTCGGCGGTGCTCTTCGCTTTGACTCCTGGTCAAGCAAGGATCTCAATAAAAATGCGCCCCAGTGCAGTGAAGGCAGGAATAGGTCTCAGGCACAAACTCATGAGAGGAGTGGCCAGAAAAATCATCACAGGGAAGGGACACACACACAAACACACTGAAACTTATTATATACATTGACATCCTGCTTACTTGGAGCACAATGACAGGACATCTTTTTTGTTTGTTGTTGCAATCAACAGTGGGTTCCTGGGATCGTCTGGGATCAAGGCAACTTCTAGCTTAGCTAGCTGCTCTAGCAAACTCTACAACAATGCTTTTGGTTCGATCAAAACATATCAACACTAGTTGTGTCTGCATGATTTGTCGTGATTCGTGACTTCAGTCTTCGTCCTGGTGCATCTGGAGTTTCAGAAGCTTGAGCAGGAGTTTCCACCTGGCTGAATGGAGCGATGCTGCCATGAATCCTTTCCCCCAGATCTTATCGCAGCAAACAAATTGATAGTATGGCAGAATGGCCAAGACTTGATCAGGTCCTGCAATGACCTATCACATCCAGGAATCCATGAAGGTCACACCTACCAGTACGATGGTTTGGGTGTGGCGCCAACCCAAACCTCTATCTTGTGCATTACTGTAGACTCTGTTTGGACAGTAGGAGGTAAATGACCTGTCGCTGCATGAAGGGGGTCTTGAGCCATCAGTCTTGCGACCCCACACAGCGTCGAAAGGCGAGTGTGGGTGTCATGACAACAGTGCCCTCACATCCCGTGCTTTCCACACCGCAAATCACAGCACTTTGCTACATGTGTGAAGTATTTCATTCTATATTCTGAAACACATGCCAACAAAGCATGTCAGAATGTCAACCCCCACCTGTGGCGGCTCTGGTGGAGGCTCACTTGGCTCAGTTGTGGGTGCCTCTGCAGCCTCAGGATGTTGAGAAAAGTCTCCCACAAAGAATTTCGGACTTTGTTCATTTCAATAAGCATTCCATCATATTCCAATCGAGCAATGGCATCCATTGTTGCCCTGTTTTACTGTGCGCACCATGGGTCTTGGGCCTAGCTACTCATCCAAGTTGAAGTATATAAGACTTTCTCCCAATCAAAATTCAACCAATCATGCCTCTAGCAGCCCAAGCAAGATGTTTCTTGATATGCTCTCCTTCTAGGGCACGGCTTCAGAACGGTGTTTGGTGGAGTACTGAATGAAGTAAGACAGTTTGAGCAAAACAACAACCATGCTTTCAAATGCACCAAGCGGCCAAATCAACTTGCAGTACCAAAGACCACTGTGCAAGGAGCTGTGATGGTTTCTTATGGGAAGTCTGATGGGTCAAGTCCATGCCAGCTCATCTCGGCTGTGGTTTTTCAGGGTAACATCCATCCTTCAAAATAAAAGATTGTCCGCCCCTTTGATTTTCTTGAACATCACATAAACAATGTACATGGCTTAATATGAGCTGTCAAAATTCCTTGGCTCGCCCCTAGCACCCGCTCAACAGTCCTCACGATCTGCAAGCAAAGAACGTACGTACCGCCCGCAATTATAGAAGAGACTCCCCTAGGCCGACTTCTATATATGGTTACCTTGTCAAAAAATCAAACAAACGGCCAACCAAATAGTTAGACGTAGCTTTCAGGGCAAGGTCCATCATACCGAAAGTAGCGCCTTGCTCCACCTCAACAATTTGTTTCCCATACCCTCGGCCCACTTCTTGTAAGGACTCTTCTATGTTCTTCTATTTCTATATATTTCCTTCATTCTTCTATATATGTGTAATGTGACAATGTGTTCTATTTTCCCAGGCAACGCGTCCTTCTACTCAGCAACCAGAAAGCAAAAAATTGATACCCTTTCCAGGCTTCGGCAAATGTGAGGTCCAGACCCCCAATGCCCCCGCCGGGGGGTACTCCTCTGGATGTGTTTTGCTGTAGGCAGTATCCAAATCGCAGGCACAAATAGAAGATTTCAAAAAAAAACACCGTGTTTGTGGATTTATCAGATCTAAATAAATAGAAGATCTTATGACCATGGGAATTCTCGACGTCGAGGTGAGGTAAAATTTGCTTTCGAGCTACTTTGAACAGAATAATTTCTTCTATGGCTACCTTGGTAAACACCCCAGTTTAGGCGACTTCTATTTAGACAGTCTTTTCAATGCCTTTAGTTAAATTGTACTACTGTAAATTGATAGTCGTCTAAATTGCTTTTCTCTGCAAGTCAAGCTCAGGATTCCAACTCGCTTGTGGTACTACACACGCAAACTTCGGGATTCACTCTAGCAGGTGTGCACGCTTCATAGCGTTTGAAGCGGGTCAATTGCCTGTATGAGTGAAGGCTCATGGTACGTACACCATCCTGCACAGAATTCAAATCAGCAGTACCTACGTCGGCAAACCTTGCGAGGAAGACCCTCTTAGGATTCCCTTCCCTGGTAACGATCTGCAAACTATATAGGGCTGCTGACTTGTCAAGCTCTATCAGTTCGACATTCCACAGGCTGAAGCGAGCACATCTCTTCTCAGGATCGGCCCCTTCCAAGAAAAAGTTGATGTCATCCAGCAGCCACTGGGCGGCATTGGCCATGTTCTCACAGAAGGCAGTCAATCCAGGTTCTCCAGTCGTGTGAACACGTTCATAGACATCTGCATCCACAGCATCTCTGAACTCTTTGATGGTAAAGTACTCAAAGTCAAAGATATCACCGCATACCCAAGCGTCATAGCTAATCTTTTGAACTGCACAGTGGCCCTTCAAAATACCTGCTTCCTCGCAGGACCTCTCAGGGACAGGTCGCAACAGCGAGCTGGGGGTGAAATGAGCTTTGCGAATGACATAGGGCACGTCATGCCTAGCAAAAGGCATAGAAATCAGTTCATCTCCACTGATTTCATCAGCGCCAAAGCCTTCGGTCCCGGCCGAAGCGAGATCTCTCACAGTTGTGTAAATATCCCAAGGTGTGACCAGTTTGTCTGTGTTCCTTTTCAAGACCGCCAAATCCCTTTGCAACGACGGAGAAATTCTTATCGCCAGCATTGGACGCTGATAGTCACAGGTATGGTCTGGGCGGCCATGATCCGCCATTACTATGACTGCGGTGTTTGGCTGTCGTGCCATGAGCAGGATGTGCTCCGCCAAGCGACCATCAATAAAACGCAGCCCTTTGGGCGAATCATGGGAGCCCGAGAGGTGAGCATAAAGGAAACCAGGTGGTTCATTTGGTCGCGCACTGAGAAAAAACTGTTCCACAAAGTCCAGGACGCTCAAATACCCCAACTGATTCCCCACACAGTTCAAATCAGGATTAACTGGTTCATCCTCCGCTTTCTTGCCATGATATTTGTAATTGTAAAGTGGAAACCATGGAAGTCTATTGTCGATTTCATCCAGCACCAGGTACTGTCGCGCCATCATCATCTCTGCAAGACCAGTACGGTATCCGAACTGGTGTTTCAAGCGATGCATCAAACGACGGTGCTCAGGGGTACACCGTAGGGCGATTTCTTCCCAATGCAAATTGCGAGCAAATGAGTCTTGCCTCGAACTGCCACAGAATGGATCTGAGTTGTTCACAGGGATGCCCCCATGCATCAAGGGGAAGAGGGTGGAACGTGTACCACCAGGGGACAGTGTGTTGAAGCGGTGAAACCACGTATATCCAAACCGTTGCAGTGTTTTGAAGGTCAAGGGTGCGTGTCTCTGCAACGACATCCGGGAAGTGGAGTCCAGCGTGAGGATATAGATATTTGGTCTGCTTTCAATGCCTGGCAGGAACGGCCTGAAGGGCCGTTGAGGCTCGTATATGCCCACAACGAAGCCTGGGCGCTTGACTTGCCGCCGCTTGATTTCATGGGTATGCTCGGTATGTTCCTTGCGTTTACAGCAACGGTTTCTGCCTGCATCTGAAAGGAACCTTGAGGAAACTTGACTGCAATTCATGATTTGCTCTATCTTTCTGGAAGGGTAACCAAGAATACATACAGTATATTACTGAGGCTTCGTAGTTGAGTTCGGGCTGATAGAGGCCTGGTATTGTATCATGCAGCTGCATGACAGGAGTGAACGCTGACACAACTCAAAACCAGTTCTAGTTCCCTCATCTATCAGTTCTAGTTCCCTCATCTATCAATGATGTGTTTGCTGTTTGATTGACATTGCTATCTGGGTTTTGTCAAATCCCATGGGGCGCCTGTAGGTCGGTCCCAAAGCAGCACGCCATCCGTACCAACATGAGCTGACTGAGCTGACCTATTCAGAGGTTCCCACTGAACGCCATCAAGCATCGTCGCATTCTGAGCGATGCTGGGTACATGTTCATTGGCTCCCAGAACTGACCTTGCCAGGGATGAACATTCCAAATCACCCCTCGGGGTCGATCATGACCATTTCATGGTTGAACCTGATTTCGCCTCATTTCTCCAACAACCAACGAACATATGATTCTGCACATTGACATGCTGGATGGTGAAAAGTCTTAAAGAGAGTACTCAATGTCCCAAACGGCAAAAGCATGCAAAAGCACCCTTGAACCTTCCCACCATCACATCAGCATCTGGGCGCAAGCCTCGAACAAAAATCCTCCCAGCCCGATAGTCTGCGGATGTCCATGGCGGCTTAGTTAGTCCGCAGGATGGGTACTGCAGCTTGCTGTGCAAAATGTGCAGCTCGAAGCGCTCACACTGCTTGTCAGCCATGATGCTCTCATTCAGCATGCTGCTGATGGGGAAACTTTGAGGTTGCGACCACAAGTGAGGATCAGCCGAGCTCTGCAGAAAGTATGCAAACACCCCAGTTTTGAGGTTCAACATCACAGCAGCACCAAATGAGTTCGCAAAGGAAAGCCGCCCAAAAGAAGACGGGGGCATGCACGAACGTCCAGCGCTCAGCCTTGAGCCTAAAAAGACGAACCTGACGCACCTGACATCACCTGACGGCCAATTCTCATCATGACCAGAAAGCTCAAATACTGCAAGTGTAAGGTCTCCAGGGCCAATCCAGTCCTTAACTTAAAATAGACTTACAGTATCACCAAGTCGACAGTCTTTCACAACATGTCAAAACACTTGCAATGCAAGTTTAGTCGACTCTAACTTGGGATGCTAGGCGACCCAGTACTTGGTAGAATTGTGTTGCCACATTCTGTAGAGCATGTCAATGCCAACAAGCATACACACGGGACAATGATGGACAATGCGTGCCCCAGTACGCAATTGAAATGCAGCCAATGCAGCCTACACAAGCTAATAAGGCAGCGTGAAGTCTGATGGATTTGCTAGCTGCTAGCATCTGTCTGAATGCGATTCTCATACACGAATTATCTGCGATATATAATACGGAATGACGTGCCCAAAGCTCTTTGGAGCATCTTTCCTGGAAGACTGCATCATCCAAAGCTAAGCTGTTTGCCATCAGCATGATCATTGTCGCAATATCCTGAGTCACGCTTCAACATCATCTTTTCCAAAAGCACAGTTGAAGGAATGTGAGACAATCTTAATTGAAAAACACAACCCTGGGGCCTGTGGATGCTGAGAAGCCAGCATCTGCTGTTTTTTTTTTTTTTAACTAATATGCCCCATGTTCATGTTCGCAAAGTGTTCATCAGTTTATCCTTTTAGAAAGTCGACGGGCCTCTAAGTGTTCTTCCTTGTGAGTTCAACTGAATTGACCCTTCTTTCCATCTCAAACGAAATGGTGCCAAAATGACCCCAACATAGCGTACAACCATCAATCTACCGACTTGAAAGCACCTTCCTCCAGGATGTCCTTCCACGTCCAAGATCTTCCGCTACAAATGGTTGTAAGAAGTTTTGACACCTCCTTGAGGAAATCTCAGTGGTCCACCTGTCTACAAACTGCTGGCCTGGTGTTTTAAAGTGTTGTTGTTTGTAGCCCGCTCCTACTTAATTAAGTAAGGGAGTAAGCTACTAGCTACTAAAGCTACTAGTATGGGCGCAGGATAGCTCACACTTCTTCAAGGAAGCTCCCCCCGCCTGAGGGCGTGGGGGGAGCTTCCTTGAAGGGGCGCTCGCACTGATGATTTAGTTCCTAGATGAGTTGGGACACTTATCTTCATATAGATAGATGTCCAGGGATCAAAAAAATCAAAGCCACTCATCACGTATCAGCTACATCTGTGAATTATCCAACAAATGTCTTCGTGCACCAAAGACAAACTCAAGTAGGAAGGTGTTCAAAAAGGCCCCGTATCATTCTCGAGTGACAATTGTCTCATGTTTTTCTAACATCGTTCAAGTGTGAAGTCCTGGAAGATAAGGAAACACACACACACACTAACACTAACACTCTGCCTGGCTAGGCCGCCCTGCAGGTCGTGTGTTCGGGTCAACGTCTTGCATCCGGCGCCTCATTGGGCAGTCAGTCACCATCACCATTACCATCCATTAAGTCAAATCGGACATACTTACACAATAAATAACTATAGTCTTGTCTTGAATGTATTTAAATGTCTCAAATACGTAACGGGACCTTCTGGCACCCTACTTGGGGGGGTAGCATCACTTTGTTTAGGATAATTAAGTTTGAGGATTGCGTGCTCGAGGGCTGGAAGTTTTACTCTGCATGCACAAACAGGAAAGGAGCTAGAATAAGACAGGCTGGTGCAAAACGGTATGATGCCTGCCCCATTTTAGGGGAGGAGACTACTCTTCATGCCTTTCATTTCTGGGAAATTCATTCATTAAACTGAAATGAAATGCTGTAAAAGAGAACCCATGTGTGTGTGAAGTCAGTAAATTATTTGTCAGACAAAAAGACAAGACCAAAATAGAATTTATTGTCAATAAAACAATAACCTCAAATAGTTTAATGCAGTCTCTACAATATGTTGATCTTTTCTTGTTTCTTTGATGAATCTCTCCCTTGAAGTGTTTTGGTTACAAGACCGCGAGACACTGTCAGCAAGGTCTCTTGGATCTCCGACTCAACTTGCTCTCGAGAAAAGCCCATGTCCACCAAGGAGGAGACCTCAACACGAACGCTCTATGGGGTCCGTCAAGCTGCTGGAGGTCCACTCAGTGGGAGCTACCAAAGACTTGGACAATCGAATATGGTGCAGTGCCCCCTCAATACACAGTCTTGCATGGGCAATGATTCCTCTTGTCCTTCATCTCCTTCCCGTGTGGTGCGTTCCAAAACATATTGTGTGTAGTGTGTAGTGATGTGTAGTAGTGTGCAACTGTACCTTACCTGCCACATGTCAAGTAGATCGTAGTTGCAGCCACCAGTTTCTTGCCTGGCCTTCTTGTTGGTTATTTAAACAAAGGCTAATTATCCCTAATGGATGAAGGTCATGATCCTGCTCCTAAAACCGACCTTTGCCTGTTTGGTAACAATAGGACTGACAGTAGTAAAAATTGTGTGGAACGAAAATGACCCCAAACGCATGCAAACGGTTGCTCTAAAAAGACTTGCCATATCAACGGCCACACCTCCTCTCCTAGCCTCAACGGACCAACAAAATGACACTTCTTCAAACTGGGAGCATGGCAAGCACCGCAGGGTTTTAGTTGCTGTTAGCATTTGACTCCCAAATCACCTTGTCAGGGCTCTGACCATGCTTTGGCGAGAGGCATCAGGCCAGGCCCGAGGAGCCTGCGACTAAGTGGGTCCAGAGCACACATTATTCTTTATAAGAGTAGGCTAAACATGTGTAGCTGGGTAGCCTTGTTTAATATAGATTCGACTCGGATTTATGAAGCATCTACAAAAACACCGCTTGGAGGCCCTGGAACGACTGGAAAATGCATAATTGTCTGTCGAACAATCGATCGCTCAAGTGTTGACATGCCCTCGGTTCGGTTGCATAGCGCATAGTACTTCACAGCTCGCACACGTCAAGGTATTAATTTTCTCGCGGCTGATCTTCTGCTTAGTGGACTCTGGCTGCTGGGTCCAATAGAATTGGTCGGACAAGAATGAATGCCAGCGCTGCCCCTTACTACTATACATGCGTAGGTCTGGACCTTTTGCCTAGAATGCATTCTTCACTGACCACTTCCAAGACTTCCAGTGATGTGGAATCAAACTCAACTTGGCCTCAACACGTAAGTACTGCAAGCTTCTTTTGTATAGTAAGCCTTACAAAACAGTCTTTCTTCAATTATTGATTCAACTTATTAAACAATCGAACGTGACACCACTTGGGCTACCTAAGCGACCGATCACACCCTGTGGTTGCATTGCTTTCACTTTAAACCTCGAATGGTGCAAGACAGGAGCATCTGATCATATCTCTGGCCATCAAGCAAACCAATCCTGAACTGCTACGCAAGTATCTAGTGACAAACAAAAAGCAAGCGCTAAGGCGGGCTTTGAGTAGCTTATTGGACCCAGCACTGGCGAGATGGCTAAATCTTCCTGTCAATTCAGCGATCCACCCAAACCTCTCCACTTGGGAAACCTGCAGTCTTCCACGGTTCCCACTTGAGCTGCTACAGGGGACAAATATGGCTGGGGACTGCACCTGTCCATCCAAGAGGCATATCATGGATTTACACAAACACCGAAAGACATATGATGTTTCTTTGTGTACACCTGCAAGAGCATTGTCGAGCCACAAGCCTGTGTTGCCTATGAATTCCAATTTGAATCCAAATCCACAACCAGCGAACTGGCAAAACGACTAACCGACTAACCATCTATCTTGCCGCAAGATGTTTCGAACGATATATAAGTCTTGAATGAGATTGACCTGCTCTGGACCCCATCACCATCTCAAAAACCATGATGACCAGCAATTCACGAGAGTCGATAACGCTATCAAAGCACATTGGAGCCATTGCATATCCCCTGTGAGTGGATTTCTAATCATCGCCATGCCTCAGGCAAGCACTTCTGGCAAAGGCAAACAAAAGGTTGCCCTTTTAAAAGGCAACACACCCAATCCTGGCATTCACTGCCCCTGAAGGGAAGCAGAAACCAGTGAGAAAAAAAGCACAAAAAGACAAAACAATAAAAACCGCACGCTATTTACAACGAGGTTTGACCTGCAAGCTGAGGGGATGCATCCATCCGTCCCGTGCGAGCAAATTCAGAGATGTCAAAAGCCGTGTCCTCGCCTGGGGCAACAATTTGGTGCTCATGAGATGAGGAGAAGAGGAAGAAACAGCTTATTGATTCATCTTCAAGTCTCACAACATCGTCAAGTCCCATGTTACCTCACTAATCTTATCTCATCTCGCTGCAGTAACCTTTTCATCCCTTCAAGGCCTCATGAGGGCGAGGACCTGGTAGAGCTCTTGCTGCAGCTGCGGCCTGGAGGTTCTCGGCTGCAGCTGCGGCTGGCCACGGAGCTCTTGGAACCGCGGCGGCTATGGTTGTCGCGCACGGCCTCCGTGGCAGAGCCCGCTGGCACGATGACGATCTGTGGCTGCTCATGGGACTCCTGGGATTTGGAGAAACCCGGCGCTGGGATTTGGAGGGATTGACAATGATTGCAATTACAAATCGTTACTCTTGGCTGAATGTATGGGCATATCAAAGGATATCAGGTCCTTCTGATTTTCCTGTCCAAGCGAGAGGGGCTTGAAGGAGATCAGGAACTGGAACAATTTGTTCTACACATGTCTACATACAGCGCTCCCAACGACAATTCAATGACATACAACACATATCATGATCATATCATTGTATACATTGTTTCACCAATTTGCAAGGGCTCAATATCTGCATT